AAGCGGTAGAAAATGAATGAATGTTTATGGTGGAAACAAACATGCAGAACAGTATTATAACTCTATCTGCACGGTTCAAAGCAATGGAGGTCAGTGAATTCCAAAACCAGACAGACTTCCATGTTCAAGGTCATAGTTGCCTCTCCCAAAAATAGATGACCGCGGCTACATCCCAAGCGCACCACTTTGTTCGCTCCTATCTTTAGACACTTTGACTAAAAGTATATTCTTTAAGATGTGATACATGTGTTTGTTAAGTTGTGGATTCACAAAGCATCTTAACCGGTGTCTTTACTAGAACTTACTGGTCTGGTTCTTACACAAGATCAACCAACAAGGAAACTTCATGGCAGGGTATAACACCATCTGCAGGGCGAAATGAACACTATTAACAATGAAATAAACCTTGTGCAAACTTTGTACCCGTTTGTTGAATGTCCAGTAACAGTTTAATATAACTATATTATAAAAGCATTAAGACATGAAGGTACAGAATATTAGGCTGAAATCTGTATAGTGACTGAACTGTTGGTGACCTGTTGACCCTGTCTAGATGTGTCCTCACAGCACAAGCCTGTCCTTTCCTCCCTCCTGGATGATCTGACCAATAGATGCCTGACTCTCGGTTTGTATGAAACACTGTCTCTTGCACTCCATCAGCTGCTCCAGGTCCCGCCACATCTTCATCTGCTCCATGTTTTCACTGTGGCTCTCCCTCACCATCTTCTGCTTCTCACGTAACTTCTGGAGTTCACAAGGGAAAAGGGTAATTAGTAAGTCAAAGGAGAATCTTTAAAATGGCACTTGTACAATATGAGTCTGATCCTGACTGAAGACCAAATTACAAACATGTTAGTAAAAATGTATACTTCATCTACATTACTGCAGTTCTCTAAGTTTCTAGTAAGTTTCCATATCTACCCTGTCTGTCCTCTGACCATGTTCTTGACAGAATAAAGGAGCATTTTCATGTATTGACCCATTTCATCCGCTAGGGCAGTTCTGGGACGCACTGTCCTCACCTTGCCAAGTAACTCCTGTTCCAAGATGTTCTTCATGTACACTTCCCTACAAAAGAATATAATTCAAAAGCAAGCCATCACAATTTCACGAGTTGGTCTCACCCAGTGTTTTTAAATAAAGGTGTGGCATTATCAACATATCTTGGTATCATAATATGTGGTAATGAATTTCTGACAACCCTCTAAGCTGTATGCAAGAATAAAGTGGCTGCAGCTTAACTGACTGCGCTGTAATAGGAGCTCCCCGAGGTAAAAAAAAAGAAAAGGGCTATTCATTATGCGAGCAGCTGGCTGGCCTGGCGCAGCATGCTCACCTGATGGCCTTCTTCTTCTCTTGTGGATCAGAGGACACATAGGCCTTCATCTCTTCAGCTGCCCGCTGTATTTGCATCTCAAAGATCTGTGGAGAACACAGATGAAGAGGCTGGGTTTACAGTCACAGTGAGTTTTTGGGGTTAGAGTACTGTGAAATGCTGTGACAGTTTATCCATTTCTGCAGCACCCCTGTGGGTAGCAAATCACCGCTCAGCGCATGGAGTGTCAATTCAAATTTGATCATATTTGCCTTGTAAAACAGTGATAATGATGGGCAACCCACCCAGTGCGGCTGGGGGCTAAAATATTTGTCTCTGCTTTAAGAGATTTTCTTTTTAAAATACTTGCCTCCGACATGGAGTTGATATAATGATATCGGTTTTCATCCTGTGCTGTCTCCTCTCTCAATGCTTTCACCCCCTATATATAGATATATAATAAGTTGCTATGACAAAGACATGAAATATTATACACAAATACACTGGATAAACATCTATAAATACATTTAAGATGTTTAATAGTAACTATACCTGTTCCAATTTAGACCTGTTGCTCTCCAGACCAGCAGCACAACTTTCATATTGCACCTTCTTTTCCTCATACACATGGCTTAGCTCCTGTTAAGATCAGAATTCAAACAGTAACACACATGAACTGAAAGACAAATGGTTTAACATGCTCTATACTGAATGAGAACTGAGACAAGCCCCTAGAATAAACATTTTCAACACCCCTGTCAAACTCTCAGCACTGTTTCACATTAACATAAGATGATAGCTGTTATATGAGCAGTTTAATTTACAACAGGCTCTTACAAAGTCTATTTATGTCTTCCTGTTGCAGCGCTTCATTAGCAGACATTACCCAGTAAGATGGACAAGCGATTCTGGGAACACGTGTAGGAAAATTTAATCCTCCACGCTAGTGCAGTGATGTGGGGGGCTTTCCCACTGTGCATTTTATTTATGGTCTATGTAAATTATTCTTAATGGATCCTGACCAAAATAACACACAAATACAATACACGCCAACTCTTACTGGCTTGCTTGCACATAATAAAGGCTCCACCATTTATTAAACTTATGATTCATATGTATACCTTATTATGTTTTCCTCACATGAGCATTCAAATGTTTTGCTTCAGTTTTGAGGGGAGAATGTGTGACTTGTTCATGAGATGTGAGACCTTTATTTCCCATTGGCTTGCACTCTATCTAATGTATGCAAACTGACATATTGAACTATGAATTATTATATCAAATTCAGATCAGATTATTGATCCACAGACTCTGTCGACCCCATACAAATGACACTGGGGTGAGAAGTCATTATTAACTTCTGGGTAAGAATTCTGATTGGTCAGGTGGCTCATTTTTTACAAACACTAGTGATATGATGTGAGGAATCTTTGAAATAGAAGTGTTATAATGCAGATGATGCTCACCTGACACCTCTGTCTCAGTGACCTCAGTTCTTTAATAACTGGAGCTAGAGCCGACTTCTTTTCCACTATCATGGAGTTTAATTTCTTCACCTGTTAAACCAATAGCACACACTGCATTAAAGCCAACATAAGTCTTACAATGAGAAGAATTAATTATATGGCCAAGTATGTTACACACACAAGGAATTTGTTTCCGGTACAGAACCGATGGCAGCCATCTGTGGCGCCAACTCAACCGATGGCTTTAACCATCGGGGGCAACGGGGGGGTTCAGTGTCTTGCCCAAGGACACTTCGACATGTGTACTGCTGGCACCGAGACTCGAACCTCCAACCTTGTGGTTGGGAGACGACTGCGCTACCCACCGCACCACGGTCGCCGCCCCAAACATCACAATGTAGATTAAAAGGAAATAATATTAAATGCTGAAATATGTAACTTCATAAATATTTGAAGTCTGCAGAGAAAACAGCAAGTAATGTGACTGTGACTTAAGATTTACTGAGATGATGGCAGCAGTATCAGTCAGACAGGTGCCATCTGACAAATCCAATTAACGTTTCTCAGCAGCCAAGATAAAAATGCCACAACCTACAATAAAGTTCTATGACAGTATTCAGTCACAGTTTAGTAAATAATCATTAAGACATTACAGATTTATGGCTTTGGAGTGCAATTCCAAGTTCCAGTATAAAAGTACTTTTGGAGCCAGAGATGTTTGAGTCCATCATTAGGAGTGATCTGCAGTTTGCCAGATGTACTTGCTGCCAAACTGATCATCAAACTCACTACAGCTTGGAGCATGGCCTAATCTGCTGCAACTGCTTCCCTGTGGACCATGACACAGGGTGATAAATAAGGTAGAAGCAGGGATAATATTGCCTGTTGCCAATAAGAATTAAGATCAATCCTGACAGATAGAACTGGTATTCAGAAACTACAAATTAAACATTAAATGTGCTGCACATCCACACAGGACCTTTAAACATTTTGGACTTTGTACTCGCTACAGTTGATAACTTTAGTTACTAGTTACTTCATAGAATGAGATTATTTAAAAAAAAATCTAGTATGATCATAAGAATTTATTGATCCTGGGTGGGAAATTCACAAGCTACCCAGCAGTATTTAAAGTATGTCAAATTATAAGCATATTATGTAGTTAAAATTTGTTTCACTTTTACCAGCTGCAACATTAAATGTGATGCTTCCAATAATTATAATCCAGTGATAGGATGTCCATTAACGTGAACTGTGCCATTCTGCATAATGACTACTTTAACTTTTGGTACTGTAAGTATATTTTGATGCTAATACTTTGATACTTTTACCTAAGTAACATTTTGAATACAGGACTTTTACTTGTAAAAGAGTATTTTTACACTGTGGTATGATATTTTACTTAAGTAAACAATCTGAGTACTTCTTCCAATGTGACTGTGTGAGTGCTTGTGTGTGCAAATGGGTAAATGGCAAAGTGTAAAGCGCTTGGAGTGCACTTTAATTCACAGAAAGGAGCTAAGTAAGTGTAAGATCATTTACCATTCCACCACTGGATAATGGTGTAAAATGTCTAGTCTGTCCAGATTAAGAAAGATGCCAAACAAACACAGTCTGTACAGGCCCATACAGTTATTATGGAGCTCAAATTATCTAGACTAAGTGAAAGTACAGTGTACTGTCAGTTGGCCATAGCCAATGTCATAGATTTTTTGTTGCTCCTTATCCTCTAGAGTCCTGAGCTTTGGAAACCCAAGCTGTGCGGTCCTCATATGAGGACGCAGGGACTCTAGAGGTTAAACACTAAAATGCTTACTAATTTATCAATAATAATAAAATTTACTAGAACAACAAAGCTCACAAATTCACCTAAATGACTTTTTTTCCATTACAAAACAATGCTTGTTTTTGAGTGGCTTTTACCCAAGGCCCCTTAGTATAGTCACCATTTCAGACATGTCATCCAGTGTGCGGCCCTTCTTCTCATCTAGTTCGCTCTTGATGGCAGACACCTTCTCCAGTTCCTCCTGAGTGTCACTGTAACCAGAGATTCCCTTCTCAGCTTCCACAGTTTGCTTAACAACACAACAGAGACACATGGTAATTAACACTGTGTATGAACAAAGTCAGCAATGAAATCAGTTGATCATATACAACAAAAAAATAAATCAGCCTAACAGCAACACTCCAGAAGTCTACATCGATATGAACCAGCACTCACTGTTATATTAACAACTTTACAATTTGAGTGAATTCCTTTTTGAAAATGATTCTAACATACTACAAGATACCATGTTAATCCACATGAACTCTGACTGAAAACAGATTCCAACACAAAGCTTACAATGTAGTAGTTACAGTACAGGTAAAACTACAAAAGCACATCTCAGTTGCTGTAACAATGCTAAACATGTAAGAAAATGGCAGACACGTCGCTAGCTAGACATATGACCAGCTGGAAAGCTTTAATTGCTTTAGCAAATTCTGGTGTGGGATACTAATAGAGGAGCAGCAGCAGATGCAACCATCAGAAATAGCAGTACTGCCTGCATCAGACAGTCAACCAACAAGTCAGGTGCTGCACACTCAGGTGCGAATCCATTTGCAAGAAGCTTCCATCACTTCACAGCTGGATAATCACCTTTATTTGGCCAAGTATGTTACACACAAGGAATTTGTTTCTGGTGCAGTGCCAACTCAACCGATGGCTCTAACCATCGAGGACAACTTGGGGGGGTTCAGTGTCTTGCCCAAGGACACTTCGACATGTGGATTGCAGGCACCGAGATTTGATCCTCTGACCCTCCGGTCAGGAGACGGCTGCTCTACCCACTGAACTACAGTCACAAACTGTGTGAATGGGGAGATCAAGTGAAAACAGTGGAGGGGATACAGTATGTATGTTCAGGGACAGAGAGGGCATTAAAACCAGTTAAGAGGTCCAGGTACAATATGAAACATTGAGAGTTATGATTATTAAACCCTCGCTGTGCAACACTATTGAAATGATCTTGTGCAAGTTACTGAATTCAGCTAGTCAGATGAAGCTGCTCACTGGCTAACAAATGATGCTAGGCCAATGTCGTATTCAAAGTTGAAAGCAGGTAATTTAATAGAAGAATAACACAAGATGCAGACTTGGTACTGCCTGCCCTGTAGTTATATATGTAAACATGGGTGAAGAATTACCAGTTTGTCTTGGACAAGCTCATGTCTTTGCTTGAGAATCTCCTCTGTTCGTTGCAGGACTCCATATTCTGCTTTCAGCTCAGCAATTTCCTGGCGTTTCTTCTTGTACATGGTTCCCTTGCCCCGCAATTTCACCACCAAACGTTTCAGCTTTGAAGAAGAAAGAAACAAATTCAACATGATCTAATTAAAAGGATACTTGACATATAAAAAGAGTGTTATGAGATGTGAACACTAAATAATGACTTTAAATGATTTTGTTTGGCTTCTTTGCTACAGCCAAAAGGTTTTTAGGTGTAGGTGTCTCTGTATTTGTGTCCTCACCAGCTACATACATGAGAGGGTCAGAATATTAGGAACACTTCAGAATATAATGTAGTCCAGTACAACACCACCTTTAACTATAACCTCAATAATTAACATATCACTGAATTTATACATTTATGACAATTTCACTAAAAACTGAAACATTTTGAGCTTCACAAACACAGATGTTAAGGCAGAAGTGTTGCATTGAAGTGCATACAGTTGTACCTAATAAAGTGGCTGCTGAGTGTATTTACACTTCCATCAGATACAGAGCATTATCGTTTATTTGGAGGTGTGTTTCAATCTATCTGGCAAATGTCAGTCCAACATTGACACTCCTTTTGCCTCCAGTTTGGTCTCAACCAACTCCAGAGTGAAATATCTGGGTTACTTTATGTTCACCAGCTACAAACAGGTGACATATGAAAGGAAAACCCAACATAAAGTGTCTCAGTGAGGTGCTGGGCCACCACAATAGCGTCACTGCTCCTGGCACTGACTCTCGAAGTGTCTGAGCTCTACTGGAGGGATGAAGGCTGTTCTTCCAACAGATATTCCATCATGTGTTGTTTTGATAATGATGGTGGAGATGCTGTCTAACACGTCACTCCAAAATCTCCCATAGGTGTTCAGCTGGGTCGAGCTCTGGTGACTGTGGAGGTCACAGCATGTGATTCACATCATTTTCATCCTCAAACCATTCAGTGACCCCTCATGTCCTGTGAACGGGGGCACTGTCATCCTGGAAGAGACCACTCTTTCCCTGTCACCTGTCTGTGGTTGATAATATTATCTGTTTGACAAGTTAGGTTTCTAACACAGGGCTAGGACCCAAAATGCAGACAAAGACTAGGGAGGAGCTTAGAAAGTCTTTAAGTAAACATGAGAAAAAGAACCAAGGAGTAGCTGAGGTGCTGGGAGCTTTCAGGTGAGTCAGACAGGCAGGAGAGACTTAGGCGGAGCTGGGAGCCAGGAACCCACAGGTAACTTGCGCAGGGCAGGGATGTCACCAGTGTAGAGGTAAGCAGAGTCGGTGAGGCAAGCTGGCATGAGTGGAGTCAAGGTAGCTCGAGTGTCAGGAATGTCGAGTCGAGCAGGCAGGAGAGTGGTCGGGGTAGTCAGCGTCGGGGTTTGAGGTGAGCAGGGGGTTCGCTGGTTCAGGTGCAGCCCAAGAGCAGCAAGAAGGAACAGGTGAGTTGGCCACAGGACGGGGAGGGTCTCCTGTCAAGTAATAGTGTCAACAGGAGCAAACCAGACAGGAATGTGAGACACCAGCGAGTGGCTGACAAAGAACTGAGGTAGACCCACACCGCTCTATGGTGCCGTCAGGAACAAACCAGGTTGAAATGAGGAACACAGGTGAGTAGCAAACACAGGACCAAAGGAGACTCACACAGTGTAATGATGTCAGAAGGAGCAAACCAGGCAGGAACGAGAAACACAGGTTAACAGAACGAATGCCAAACCAGAGACTACAATGCAAGCCAGTAGGTTAACCTGAACAGAGTATCACGAACACAGTAAACATCGAGAGTATCGTTAATGGACGATACTGCGGGAAAGGAGCTGGTATATATGGCTGAAGACCGGGGAATGATTAGCATCAGGTGAAAACAATGAATGCTGATTGGGAACCGTAGAAAAGCTGGGGCAGTAGAGGTGGAGTGGAGCAGGAAAGAAAACCAAAATAAAAGCGTGAAAACAGGAAGCGGAGCCAAATCATAACACAAGTACAGTAGAACTGAACAGGCAGTTCAGCCAGTTGCTTGATGTTGGAAATAACTATTGTGAACAGACGAGAATTAAATGCAAGCAGTAAAAAAAAAAAAAACAAGCTGGAAGATGCTAAAATTATTTCTAGAGTAGTGGGGAGCTGTGGTGTCTGGTGATTATCTGTCATCAAAGCAAGTGACCCCTTTCACATATATACAGTCATTTGATCTACTTTAATATAATAATTTAGACCGGAGCAGCTTTAACAAAATATACTGCATTACTAATAGTTTATTACGACCAATGTCCATGTGCCTTCTACAATAAAGGTAAGGCACATGCTTCTGTGGAAAATTCAATGAAAGAGGTAAAAATACAGTTTGATGACATGGTGTCCAGCACAGCTGAGATACTACAAAAGGCCATAGAAGAAGACAATGTGTTGAGCCAGGGGAGGGAAGGGATTAGAGAACAGCAGTGACTGCAGTAGCCATGCCATGATCTGAAAGAGTCACTCGTCCCTTTCAGGTTGACAGCCAGCTATGTACAGCAAACAGATTCATCTGGCAGAATAACTGCTTTAAGTGGCTATTCAGTCACTCCCTGCTCTCACCGTCTGTCGGGACACAATGAAACTCCCCCACAGTGGAGAGCAGCTATAAATGAACACGGACACGGGAGAATAGTCCCAGAAATCAAAGAACGTGCCTCAAGTCCTTTGGGGACCTGTGAAGCTCAATGTGTGTGTGTGTGTGTATGTGTGTATGTGTGAGTGAGCGTGGGTGGATGTGCGTGAACATGTATTCCTCGTGTATTTTGGGACATCAAGGGCAGACGTGGCTGGGAGAAGAATTAACGCAGCAGAACAGTGCTGCACAGTGTTCCCGGCATTGTGTCCCCAAAAACAACTGCTGGCAAACCAGATGGCAGCTCAAACACACTAGTCAAGAGAAACATGAATGGTGCATGTGGGCCACAAACCAGGAAAGTATCTCACACACTTAGCCAGATCTCCATATTATATCAAGAAATAAAAAAACATTTGCTACTCAGATTTGTGATGGCGTCTTGACTGAAGTAAGACTAAATTTAACTAGCGTGATGAAGCTGGCTGATAAAGTGGTTTCATGTTACTGGCCAACCAATAACGAGCAGATGTAGTCATCCCTCTCAGAGAGACCCTGCAGTTGGTGGGTGGCATGTGATGACACATAACCGGCAGAATGGAAAATACCTCTGATAAAGTGATCATCTCCACTGTGGCTGATGGCCCGAAACTATGGAGGAGTCTGATAAGCTGTGTTTGACAAAACATTTTCCATTAACTTCATTCATGTTTAGTCTCAAGAGCCCTCTTTGTTTCTACAACAGCTCCCTCTCATCATTTTAGTCTGACCTAAAGGTACAGTATGTCAGTCAGTCAGTAATATGCTTCTATAATTTATGTAAACTTTGACAGTGGTGCTCTCAACACTTTTTTTTTCAAAATTAGGAGCACATTTTCTATTTTCATAATATTTTTTTCCTATGACAAAGAAGATGTTGCTGCTTCTCCCCGCTTTCCTTCCTGAAAGAATAAACATGCTGGAAGTCCACGGATATTTCAATTCCTATATCATTGCAAGAGCCAGTGATAGCTTTAATTTTGTTTCTGCTGCAAGAGTAGCACAATATAAACTAAAATAATCAATGCCTTGGATCTGCATTGCTCAACTTCCCTGGTTGGTTATTCAGTCTGGTATAAATTTTTCCTTACCCTGTAAATGACTCAAACAAAGATATAAGCAAATTTCTCAAACTGTTGAATTAATCCTTTAAAGTCATTATACTAATGACTTAAAGTAATGTGGCACTATTTTACCAATGCTAAAATGATACTTCATGATAGAAGGGTCTTTTCTAACTCCTGTAGGCAACTTTCTTTTTCTCTTCACCACACACATGCAGGTCAGAGGTCAGGGACAGCACTGGGTCAACACTCCTGGAACAACACACACGTGCACCATCTGCACAGATTGACAACAGCCCCATAGGACAGGGGAGAGGAGAAAGCTGCTGCAATTCTAGATATGCTGTGACTCTTTTGCCTAAACAGCGGGCCCAGCTCTCACCTCATGGATATTAATGTGCATCAAACACCAGGCTATAAAAATTCTCATCCACACAGTGCATATGGTCACAGCATCTGCGGATACAGAACGGTAAGCTTAATGTACGCATGGACAAAAGAGGTGACTGCTCAAGGCTTTCTGACTTAAGTGCAATACTAGGGGAGTACATCGTCCTTGTCATGGGATAAACCTAAATAAAGACAAAGGCTTTAAGCCCAAAGTCTGTTTAATGTGTGCAGCTGGCTTGAATTAAGTGACCAGTTGCACTAAAGATTCAGGAAAAGGACAACTTTTTGTACAGTTCCTTGTTCTGGATGTTCTCTGTTGTGTTCTATTTATGGCTCTGCATGGGAATGTGGGGGAGAGCAGGGAAAAGGGATAAGTAACATTAGACAGTGAGGCCGTCTGTGTTTTGACAAGAACAGAAATAGCCTCTTGTGTTTTCTGTGGTTTGCAGATCTGCTTGTGAGCACTTGGATAAAGCCAAGCTTCTGTAGATGATATAAGCTGCTACTTCAAACACAAAGAAGATATTCATGCAGAAAATGTTTCTCGTCTTGGCCACTGACAGTATAATACTTATCATATCATACATCCTGTATTTAACACATTCTAATAGCATAACCGATATTTCTTGACTGCAATATTTAGTGACGGTAAGAATCACTTCCAACCTCATCACCCTGGATGACCCCTTCCCCATTTGAGGCTTGTGCCTGGCTGTTCCTCTGCCTCAGATCCCTCTCTGCTCCAGCCAGCTCCTCCCTTGCTTCCTGAAGCTCCTGTGCCTTAGACTCCTTCCTTCGAATGATTATGGAGGCCTGCAAGAATTATTTTACATTAAATATACAAACATGACATGCTTTTCTGCTGAGTCACTCTTAACTCAATGCAACTGAGCAATAGGAATGTTGTCTACTGAGTCCCTGATGCCAGCATGATGGCATATCCTGCACAGTGCACCATGGACATAAAAAGATTAGCACTATAACCAAATCTTAAATGCCTCTACACTCAAAAATGTGTTTGCTAATGGTTAATTCACTTGTAAGTCTGAGCTTCACTGTGATGCGTATGCTAAGTTTGACATTGGTTTGGAAGCCAGCTGTACTTCAGGAAGCAACTCATACAAGAGAGATGAAACCTGAAACCTCCAGTGCACATCAAAGTCAGCTTTTTTCAGAATCAGAACATTATACATGCACACTGAGAGCCACTGTACCAAAGTCAAATTCTTTGTGTGTTCAACACACCTGACCAATAAAGCCCATTCTGATTCTGAGTGAACAAGGCTGAAAGAACAAGAAAAGAAAAAGAATGTGCAAACAAGAAAAAAGAATGTGCATTTGTGTAGTTATCCCTTTTTAGTGTATAAAGGAACCAATCTGTAGTACATAAAAGTTTATTAATGTGGCATATAAAAGAGTTGGTCAGAAAGCAGACAACTGCTTTTGACATCCCTCAGTACTACACAGCAGACACATTATATTTACAGTATAGCAGTGCACCTAAAAATGATAACCTTAAACTCTGTCATAGGCTTTTCACTAAATTACATGAGCACCACTACTTTATGAAGAGATTAGAAAGAAAGAGGTCCTATGTACTGCTATCAGTATTAGCAAAACTAAATAATCCAAAACATCAATGCACTGATTTTCTCTAACATAAGCCTCCAAGAAACTCAACCTGGCACCTTGAACATCCGACAGCATCACAGTCAGCACACACGTTGCCCATTGACACCAGGCTAAATTTGACAAAAAAGATCAATAACATAAAATAAAAGAGAAATAATTCAATAACCTGTTGCCTGTAAAGGGTCAGCTTGTCATCCATAGGGTCATTTCTCATCATCTTCTTCTCAATCAGCTGGTTTATCTGAGAATCAACGTCTTTAATCTGTGAAAGCGTAAATGAAGAGCCACTCAGAAGTGTACAACTTACGAAAGTGGGCAGACATAACATCACATGCTAGTCCTGACCTTGTCCTCCAGGTCTTCGAGGTTGGTCTGGCCCATGGCAGGCTCTGATGCCACCTCCTGAAGGTATTGCACTGTACGCCTCATACCTTCCAGCTCTTTAGGGAGCTTCTCAGATACCATGTAGGAGTTGATCTTGATCTCCTCTTCCAGCCTCCTAATTAAGCCTGAAAGAGTCAGAGCTTTTAATTAGGCACCTTGAGCTTGCTTTTGAAAGTCTATCAGGCTTTTAGTCCTGATTAATAAGTTGAATGTGCCAAGCCAAAGCACCAGCAACATCTTGTAAAAAACGTAGTGATATTGAGATAATCACTTAATTATTTTACTGCTAAACAGCAAGTACTTAGTCAAAAATACCTTTTTAAACACACGCATACAGTATTGGGCTGCTCAACCTCAGATGGCACAGGTCATTTTAGAAATGGTAAATGTGTAAATCTGTTCTTAGGCTGAAGAGCTCAATACCAGATGAGAGACAATTTCAACATCAGATAAACTGTATTATAGCACTTCACATATCAGTACAATTAGAGAGACTCAACAGATGAAAGCCTGTTAGCTGAGAGACCCCCTGATGTTCGGTTGTGTCCTTGAACTTCTCATTCAGCAATGTCCTGTAGTGGCAACAGCAGGACACAGGTACTCACTCTCTGGACTGGCATCTGCTGCTGCCTGTCGCAAATCCTTCAATTGCTGTTGTGATCTCTGCAGTCTCTGCTCTGCCTGGAACAACTGAATGCACAAAAAGGATTTCTAATACAGGTAATGTGGGAAAACAATCAACATGAACACTAGGTTCACTATTGATTAAGCTTCAATTTATCTTCTGGATCAACATATCTATCTGTTGGTCTATAAAATGTCAGACAGTCTGCCAGAGTCCATGGTGATGTCTTTTTTTGTCCCAAAGATATTCAGCTTTCTTCTATAACAGACTAAGCAAATATTCATGTCATTCACATTGAAATGATAATCAATATGATTGCAGATTAATCTTCTGTAATTTCTCTAATCAATTAATCAAATGATTGATTCAACATGTGATAATAAAATTACTTCAAACTGTCTGTTCACACAGGATGGTTTATCACAAGCACCTTTGCAATCTGAAAAAAACAAACTGGCCAAACAAGATGCAAGAATTAAAGGGTTTTGAAAAAAAATTAGGACTTAAAGCTAAGACAACACTATAAGAAACAAACTGTTACAAATGTGAGGATAAATCACAGTTAATGACAAGCATTTACTTGGTTCTTCTGTTCTTGTTTCTGGTGAGTCAGCGACTCCTCTCTCTCCTTTTCCACTCGCAGCTGTCTGGCCTGCTCCAGCATCCGCTCATGGTTGGACAGTGACTCCACCTAGTGGGTTGACAAATTCATATGACAATGTCTTATTGTAGGCCATCAGCAGAAATAACCAAGCACCTCTAACAAGGTCAGGTTTCACCTTCTGGCATGCCTATAAATAAGTAAGACCCATTAAATCAACACCTCATTACTTCACAGCCTTGCAGCCTGTCAGGTCTGTTAGAGGGGCTGATAATATACAGTAAGTCTGAGGTCATGTTTTCATTCCTTAGTGAATCCGAAAAGCTGCCAAGCATTACAAAAGCGATGGGGCCTCCCTGACCACTCTACTTACCCTCTTCTTCAGCCTCTCCACGCTTTTGATTAGTTGGTATTTCTCTTCTTCCATTGCACTAATGTCCTGTTGTTAAAGTAAAGATGCATGGTTTTAGAGCACTGTATCAACTAAGATAAGGAAGGTAAATTGCTACATATGAACACATTTGTTATAAATGCTTAACAAATTCATGTCAATTAGGACTGTAACCAACAATTATTTTTATTGTCCACTGGATTATAATCTTAATAAATGATGAAGTGTATGGCCCAGAAAATGTCAGAAATGCTCATTACAATTTCCCAAAGTCAAAGCAGACAACTAGTAGTCCAAAACCCACACATATTTAGTTTCATATCATAGATGACAAAGCAAAAGGTCTAATTTGAAAAACAGTTCATTAATAATCTTTGTTTAAAAACAATGACATAAAGAAGTTCTGTGAGTTGACTATTTGTTTCACCTCTGATGCCAGTGTGTGCCAGAATTATACTGAGAAAGCTTGGCAATAAAAACTTCAAACACAACAATTGTAAAAGATTGCTGACTATTTTGCTTACCCTTCTGATTTCGGCTGTGGAAAAGCCTGAATTCCTCAGTTGTTCACACTCCTTGTGGTATGTCTTAAAGCCTTCAACCAGCTCTTCATACTGTGAACATACAACATTAATGCATAGCCTCTTTTTATTTGCAATTTCAAAAACTAGGCAATGACATGGTTTTTGTAACAGTAATTTACTGACAAACCTGGTGAGAGGTGTCACTGATGACATCATCCTGCAGAAATTCTGCAGGCACCTCCAGCTTAACCAGAAAGTGAGCCAAGTAAGCCCTTTTCTTCAGCTCAGGGACCCTCTGCAGCAGCCAGTGAAGGATAGGGTGGACTACAGGTTTGCTGCCGGTCACCAGACCCTGCCTGAAGTTGCTCCTGCAAGAAGTAAGAGGCGTATCGGTATTAAGAAAAAGTGCTTGAGATGGGGACATTTTAATTCTTATCAACTCCAAATACTTACACATCAGAGAGACTGCCAGGAGGTTTGTATTTCAGCAGCCCCAGCAGAGCACACATTCTCTTTACAGTCTGCTCAGGCATTTCTTCACGGATGTTTAGAGCTTGCTAAAAAAAACATAAGAAGAACAATGAGGTGAAAATGTAAGGTACAGCAACACTGACATGACTGAATGGTGTTACCTATCACAGATAATTTGTTCAAAAATAACAATCACAACAGTGTTGGGAAAGCTAATGTGAAAGTAAAGCTGCGCCAGCTACCAATTACTTCACACTGGAAGAAGCTGAACTACAGCAAAGCTACTCTAGGGAGCAATCTAGTTTGGTTAACTAAAGCTACTTAGAAAAGTAGCTCAAACTACTTTGTAAAAACAAACAAAAATAAGATCAACTTTACAATGTACACGTGATATGAAATTATAACAAAATATAATACTGAAATGTTATATGACAAAAAAATGCCATTCAGTTTGGTTTATTTAAAAAAGTGCCCAATTGTCCACAGGTCATACATAAACCAAAACATACAAACAAACAAACAAACAAAACCCCCCATACTATTCACGAGAAAGTGCAAAAATGTCAACTTTGGTTTTGTATACAATGTCAGTCAAGCGCGTGCCTTCCAGAAACTAGAGTCCATTTGATCTCTAATCAATTAATCAAATGATTGATTCAACATGTGATAATAAAATTACTTCAAACTGTCTGTTCACACAGGATGGTTTATCACAAGCACCTTTGCAATCTGAAAAAAACAAACTGGCCAAACAAGATGCAAGAATTAAAGGGTTTTGAAAAAAAATTAGGACTTAAAGCTAAGACAACACTATAAGAAACAAACTGTTACAAATGTGAGGATAAATCACAGTTAATGACAAGCATTTACTTGGTTCTTCTGTTCTTGTTTCTGGTGAGTCAGCGACTCCTCTCTCTCCTTTTCCACTCGCAGCTGTCTGGCCTGCTCCAGCATCCGCTCATGGTTGGACAGTGACTCCACCTAGTGGGTTGACAAATTCATATGACAATGTCTTATTGTAGGCCATCAGCAGAAATAACCAAGCACCTCTAACAAGGTCAGGTTTCACCTTCTGGCATGCCTATAAATAAGTAAGACCCATTAAATCAACACCTCATTACTTCACAGCCTTGCAGCCTGTCAGGTCTGTTAGAGGGGCTGATAATATACAGTAAGTCTGAGGTCATGTTTTCATTCCTTAGTGAATCCGAAAAGCTGCCAAGCATTACAAAAGCGATGGGGCCTCCCTGACCACTCTACTTACCCTCTTCTTCAGCCTCTCCACGCTTTTGATTAGTTGGTATTTCTCTTCTTCCATTGCACTAATGTCCTGTTGTTAAAGTAAAGATGCATGGTTTTAGAGCACTGTATCAACTAAGATAAGGAAGGTAAATTGCTACATATGAACACATTTGTTATAAATGCTTAACAAATTCATGTCAATTAGGACTGTAACCAACAATTATTTTTATTGTCCACTGGATTATAATCTTAATAAATGATGAAGTGTATGGCCCAGAAAATGTCAGAAATGCTCATTACAATTTCCCAAAGTCAAAGCAGACAACTAGTAGTCCAAAACCCACACATATTTAGTTTCATATCATAGATGACAAAGCAAAAGGTCTAATTTGAAAAACAGTTCATTAATAATCTTTGTTTAAAAACAATGACATAAAGAAGTTCTGTGAGTTGACTATTTGTTTCACCTCTGATGCCAGTGTGTGCCAGAATTATACTGAGAAAGCTTGGCAATAAAAACTTCAAACACAACAATTGTAAAAGATTGCTGACTATTTTGCTTACCCTTCTGATTTCGGCTGTGGAAAAGCCTGAATTCCTCAGTTGTTCACACTCCTTGTGGTATGTCTTAAAGCCTTCAACCAGCTCTTCATACTGTGAACATACAACATTAATGCATAGCCTCTTTTTATTTGCAATTTCAAAAACTAGGCAATGACATGGTTTTTGTAACAGTAATTTACTGACAAACCTGGTGAGAGGTGTCACTGATGACATCATCCTGCAGAAATTCTGCAGGCACCTCCAGCTTAACCAGAAAGTGAGCCAAGTAAGCCCTTTTCTTCAGCTCAGGGACCCTCTGCAGCAGCCAGTGAAGGATAGGGTGGACTACAGGTTTGCTGCCGGTCACCAGACCCTGCCTGAAGTTGCTCCTGCAAGAAGTAAGAGGCGTATCGGTATTAAGAAAAAGTGCTTGAGATGGGGACATTTTAATTCTTATCAACTCCAAATACTTACACATCAGAGAGACTGCCAGGAGGTTTGTATTTCAGCAGCCCCAGCAGAGCACACATTCTCTTTACAGTCTGCTCAGGCATTTCTTCACGGATGTTTAGAGCTTGCTAAAAAAAACATAAGAAGAACAATGAGGTGAAAATGTAAGGTACAGCAACACTGACATGACTGAATGGTGTTACCTATCACAGATAATTTGTTCAAAAATAACAATCACAACAGTGTTGGGAAAGCTAATGTGAAAGTAAAGCTGCGCCAGCTACCAATTACTTCACACTGGAAGAAGCTGAACTACAGCAAAGCTACTCTAGGGAGCAATCTAGTTTGGTTAACTAAAGCTACTTAGAAAAGTAGCTCAAACTACTTTGTAAAAACAAACAAAAATAAGATCAACTTTACAATGTACACGTGATATGAAATTATAACAAAATATAATACTGAAATGTTATATGACAAAAAAATGCCATTCAGTTTGGTTTATTTAAAAAAGTGCCCAATTGTCCACAGGTCATACATAAACCAAAACATACAAACAAACAAACAAACAAAACCCCCCATACTATTCACGAGAAAGTGCAAAAATGTCAACTTTGGTTTTGTATACAATGTCAGTCAAGCGCGTGCCTTCCAGAAACTAGAGTCCATTTGAGGGTATTGCACCAAGCAGGGTTACTCAGTTAGCCAGGCGACATCTGAAACACCATGCAATGCCGTCTCTGAGCATTTGTTAATAAATAGCAATTATCAATACTTATGACTAACTGACACCTAAGGTATTCGAGTTTAGCTTTACAAGGTCAGATTCAAAACATTAAACTATATCCAAATATTTTCACATGTGACCTGGCAGTTCAGCAGCTTCCTGGAATACCCCTGAGACCTAAATCTGTCCTAAACAAAACAATCCCATCTCTTCACAAGGACAAAGTTGTAAGGAATGTTATATTTTTATTCCACACAAATAATAAATAGAAAATTTCCTTTTTCCTTTATGACCCAAAATTGTTTGTAGTGTCAGTAACTACACAAAAATGGCAAGAGTAATGTAATTACTGAAACTAATGTAATCACTACTCAAATTTCAATGTAGGTGAACTATCAGCAAGCTACTTCGAAATGTAGTTCATTACGTGTAGTTTGCTACTAATCCACTCTGCTCACGGACAGAGAAACATCACACAACAGTACAGTCTGCACTGACACAAGTGGCTATATTGACTGGAATCTGTACAGCTGTTGAAGCTAGTCGTTTACCTTTGGGTCTATTTCAGCCAGAACATCATTTAAAATCTGCAGCAGCTGCAATGGTTCGAGAGAGTCAAACGTGATGAGGTTAAGGTTTTTCTTGAATGGTTCTTTGTTGAGCTGTTCAATGATGAATTTCAATTGTTCACTCATTTCGGAATTTCTAAATCTCGTTTGCTGCAATGGCCCTTCGTCGTCCTCTTTGTTAGATTAACGGTAAACTATTTTTGCGCCGTCGCAGAACTTCGCTTGCTAGCCTGTAACGAAACACTCTAACTTTGGTTTACTTGTCTTGATGGTAACGCTGGAAAACAGCAATTTACAGATGATAAGGAAGCATTTCCAATATATTTGTTATGTCGCGTTATTGGTCATTAGCTAGCTAACTAGCAGACCGAAGGCAGTGGTTGTTGTCAACGGCCCCATGGAAACCATTAAGGCGACGCTGATTGGTTGCTAACAGGAAGTAGCTTTGACAATCTATTCAAGAGAGTTTAGTTGCACCAACTGTGCGCAAAATACTTTGCAGGTTGAGAGGCGAGTATAAAACCGACGAAAACGTAGCATTAAGCTCTAATGTGTATAAGGCTATGGTAATAATTTAAATAAAACCGACTAAAATAAATACCACTGACCTGTTGCTGCCCAGATTCCATTCGAACGCCCAGTTAATTAATCTGGCATAGACTATATTATTTTTCTATTACTTTCCCTTGTCTTTAACATTCGATTAAAAAAGAAACAACGACACAAACGGCTTATAAAATGGTGCATTAACAAATGGTAGATAGTACCTAAATGTGAAATTGCCTCAGCACACACAGTGTAAATAGTATGTTGTTCCTTCATGGTCTTTAGATCCTACAGGTGGCGATATTTTCACTAGGCATTGCTTCAAGTTGCAACACAATGAACTTTGGTAGGATTAGTTTTCAGGGCATAACTGAAAGGACAAGTGTGCTGTGCCAGGTGGGAAAGATTTTCATAGAGGGTAAAAGTCAAAGCTGAATTTGAGAAACCATCAAATGATGTTTTGGTTGGAAGTCGGGACGTCGTTTATTCATCCACCTGATCCATAACAGCATCAAGACAACGCCGCCGTGCTCACCACGCCGTGAGTTGTTTTAAAGTGTCTTCTATTCTCCTTTATTAGAGTCGCATAGGTGCCGTAGCGTTTTTAATGTTTGCTCTCATATACATGTTGTGGTCGCTTAGCTCTTGCCGAGCTTTACCTCGAAACTCTGTTTTCGGCTGGAAACAGCATTTTGACAAACCATTACTATTTTTATGTCTTTGTAGTGTGTGCCTGCATTTGTGTAGCCCCTCCTCTCTCTGCTGCAACTATAAGACTGACTACTCACAGCACAAGAGAGCTGAGAGTCAGTGTGACACCAAACAGAGGAAAACGGAGGATCTTCAGAGAATAAACGAGTACAAGAAGGGAGCAAGTGGAGAAAAAGCTTAAACTAACATTCCTTGGATTTGTCAGGAGTGAAGAGACTGGGCCTGTGATCATGTCCCTAGGATCTTATTCTTGTGTTTGTCAGTAAACTAAGCAGGTTTTCTTTACTGTGAAGTGGATCCTGCCTGAGAACATTTTTCCTCTCTCTCTACTGTAGCACAATGGAAGTTTTTATTTATAAACCTTTCAGTCCAGTTCATGCTTTGGAAATTTATATGTGTGTTGCTATTTGATTGAATAGATTCTGTCCAAATAAAAATGGTTGAACCAGTGGGGTTTGTGGAGGCATGGAGAGCCCAGTTCCCTGAGTCTGATCCCCCATGCATGGAGCTGAACTCACTGGGGGACATCGAACAGGAGCTGGACAAGTGCAAGACATCTATCAAGCACTTGGAGAAGGAAGTAAATAAGGAGCGCTTTCGAATGATTTACCTGCAGACCCTGCTTGCAAAAGAGAGGAAGTCTTATGATGGGGAGAGATGGGGATTTAAAAGGATGCCCCAGACAAATGACACAGAGCTGCCCTGTGGCTCAGACAGCCAGAGATCCCACACAGAAGGGGGCCCAGTGGAGGAGCTGCAGCATAGAGGGCCTGGCAAGACCGTGAAATGTAAGCCAGATCAGGAAGGAGAGGTGGACGGTGCATCCCCAGCCAAGCAGAAGGGTGGGGTCTCACCTCTCCACCAGGAGTCTGAGAGTCCTGATTTTCTAGTGGGCATGGGGGCAGTGGCAGCTCTGAGATCCAACTTTGAGAGCGTCAGGAGAGGCGACTCTTATATCGCCGGAGATGGCAGAGGGCTGTCAGTGATGGGCAGCCAGGAGAAACCCTTCTACGTAAACATGGAGTACCACTATGAGCGAGGGCTGGTCAAAGTCAACGACAGGGAGGTCTCTGACAAGATCAGCACCCTGGGGTCTCAGGCCATGCAGATGGAGCGAAAAAGGTCCCTGCACTCCCTCCCAGGGAACCTGTCAGCTGCTACAGGGGACATCAGCAAGGCTTTTCAGAGAGACAGATCCACTGAGGGGAACTGCAGCTACAATGGGTCATATAATGACCCTGAGGTCAACCCACACTTCTTGAAAGACAACGGGATCCGCTCCACTGGGGGGAAGTCTGAGCGACAGCCACCAGAATGCCAGCCTTACACCAGTGTTTATATTGGGGCAATGATGGTTGATGGGGACACTCGAGTCATCCAAATTAGAGACCACAACATAGAGGAGGATGCAAATCTCACCTGGCCAAGGTGCTCCTACTCTCCCGGCAGCTTCGATGATGTAGGAGGAGGCTACACACCAGACTGCAGCTCCAACGAGAACTTAACATCCAGTGAGGAGGACTTCTCCTCAGGCCAGTCCAGCCATGTGTCTCCCAGCCCCACTACCTGTCAGATGTACAGGGAGAAAAGCCGGTCTCCCTCCCAGCACTCCCAGCAGTCCTTTGAAAGCAGCAGCCCGCCCACGCCTCTGTCTCAGAAACACCTGAAGCAGCAGGTGATGGTTTCTGAAGCCTCCATCATCGGGGTCCGTAAAACAGGCCAGATCTGGCCCATTGATAGGGACTCGAGCACATCCAGCAGGATCTGTCAAGACAGCGATGTTCAAGGAGATCTGGGTAGGTCTGCAAGATTTGATTTGATTTGATTTGATTTGATTTGATTTGATTTGATTTGATTTGATTTGATTTGATTTGATTTGATTTGATTTATTCTTTCAAGCATGTAAAGACAGTTGATATATCAACACACATAATTTTACCATGACATCATCTTACCATCATTGGTTTGCAAGCAGTATCTCTACATAGATAATTCTCTTCTACACCACACAAGTAATATACTAAAGAATTATAACAGAGTGTTAACATTCTTACATAATTACATTCTTAAATACTTATCTTCTACACCACACAAGTAATATACTAAAGAATTATTACAAAGTGTTAACATTCATACACCACACACACAATGTTCCATCTGATTAATCATTAAACCTGTTCTTGTATATATATTGATTGACACATACCTTTTATATTTTTGTTTAAACTCGTTAATTCTATTACTATTTTTTATGTCCGCACTTAAATTATTCCATAGTTTTACCACACTTATGGAAATACAAAATCTTTTTTTGGTTGTACGTATAGCATTAATTTTTAAATTTAACTGACCCCTTAAATTGTATCCCCCTTCCCTTTCATTAAAATAGGTTTTGAATTCCACAAGGTAAATCATTGTTCCTGGCTTTATACATAAACACGGCAGTCTTATATCCCACTAAATCAAAAAATTTTAACAATTTAGACTGTAAGAAAGCTCCAATGGTATGATCCCTGTACCCCATCTTATGCACAATTCTTATCGCTCTTTTTTGTAATATATACAATGGTTGAAGTGAGCTTTTGTATGTGTTTCCCCAGTTTTCAACGCCATACTCCAAGTATGGTAAAATCAG